TAGAGTTTGCCCAAAAATACGGTTCCTTATCTTAAATGTAAATGGACTCTAACCATCAAGAAACTTGAACTAAAAATCATGATCTTTTACCTACATTTGCAATTTTCGAGCCAAGTTAAAACCCTAGAAAATTTACAATATCTACTCCTTATCTCATGAAAAAATTAAGATAAATCAAACCTAAAATGGAGAAATCAACACTTAGCCCTTTTTCCTTCATTTTCTTTTTCTTTTTCCTCATTTTCTTCCTTTCTCTCTCGGTCAGCTTCAGTTTTTTGGCCTCTACGTGAATAGGGTGTATAAAGATAGGAAATGGGTTTAAAAAATGGTAAAGTTATGGGCTATTTGGAAAAGAAGTCCCTCAACTTCCCAAGATAATATAAGTAAGTCTTAAATTCCAAAAATAATCCACCTTAACCCTCATATATCATCCACTATGAAATAAATCCCAAGAAAATTAATTTACTTCACTTAAGTCGTCTTTGACTATGACTTTGACAATTCCTTAATTGAATTTTGACCAAAAGAAAATGGCTTGTTACATTTTCAATGTCAAGTTTTTTGCTAATTTCTTCTTTGATGATTTCTTTGCAGCCTCCGTTAGTCCTCCCTGTATAAAAACCAAACATATCATCAAAACATGTAAAACTCAAAGTGCAGAAATGTATTTTTAAAAAAAATCAATTGAACACAAATTATTTAAAGTAAAATTCTATTCGCTGCATTATAAATTTATAATAAAAAAAATACGAACTGAAACAAAAGAACAGCAGATTTATTTCCATAACTGGTTGACATATTTAGAGAATATAAAGAAATTTCAAGCATCCGACATACTTGGTAAGATGAGTTCTTTGCATAGCTTTGATGGCCATTTCCTTCATTCATGGCATAGAATTGATCTTCAGCCATCTTCTTCTCTCTCTTTAGATCTTCACCTACAATAAATATTTATCAGTCTACTGTTTATTTTTATAGAGAAAGTTGAGATTATGTTGCTAATTTTCTGCACATGTTTGATGTTAGTTTTTCCTTCAGAAAGAGAAGTTGACAAATTAAAGGGAAATGAAATAGGGACACACGTGCAAATCTCTATTTCCTGCTGTACTACGTGTAAGTTCAAGCCACACGTGTGAAAGTTTCTCAAGTTTTCCAATTCTTTCACTTTTTCCCTCATTATTTTAGTTTCAGTCATATTTATTATTGATATCATATTTTTATTCTTCCAAGTCCCACTATTAGTGAAGACTGCTTTTGTGCATAAGGAAATACAAAATTCTAGCCGACTTAAATCAATCACTTTTTTTTTTCAAACTCATTTTTCCACCACACATTTCATAGACTCACAATTTTTTTATCAATTTTACGACCAAATATTTCATTATTTTTTTTATAAAAATTTAATTTTTATTTAAATGACTTTAGAGGGAGTAGTTTTCTGCTGTTCACACATTTTCTTGAGACATACTCTGATTCAATTGATTCTTGGGGATTAATATTAACAAGTAACTGAAAAATGTGAAAAAAAGAAAAAAGTGATCCACTAGACACTCTTTCCTCAGCAAGATCAAGACTATTGTCAAATGTGTGTGTAAATTTTATTCCTCAAATAAAAGATTTGATTTTATGTCCCCCATTTATGCTATGTTATACGCGAGTGTAAATCTTTTGAAAATTATTGGGTTTATAACTATCTCTAGATGGGTTTTAAGATATTGGTGATGTTGAAACAAGTTAGTGATTTGCTCCTATGGCGTAGAAGGATTCTGCCAATTAGTGGAGACTGTAAATGTTATGCCCTAAGTTCAATCATCTTTGGACATAAACACATTTAATATATAATTGATGCATATTTATAGCAAGATCTATTATTTAATTGAATTAATATTATAATAAATTAAATAAAAGAATTCGTAGATTCAAATCTAAGTAATTTGTTAATCATAAAGAGTTGTGATTATGGGATACAAATTATATATGACTGAATCTTAAATCATCCGTAGTTGTAAGTAATAATGAGATACGGATATAGTTATTACGAATATACCATCATGCGTGACATTTTTTATTTGTGAAGTAAGTAACTGATATCACAAATTAAAGTGCAGTGACACTTAAATGAATACGTGGATGTTGCAAATGGCTATAATCCCTGGATTTCTAAATCATTCCATTATAATCAATGGAAAATTAATAACTCCGATTAACATACTATTAGAGTTGAAACAAGAATACAGAATATATTGGTAAAATATCTCAACAAATCAAAAGAATTTACAGAGTTTAACATTGTTAAACTGCAGTTTGTACAAAAGCATTTCTAGGTTAGCACATGCTTCCGTTCTTAGAGTGAAACCTATAATTCCTAAGACGGGAACGGCTGGAATTAACGAAGAAGAAGTCTCTGCTTTTATATTCAAATTCTTCAACTCCTCCAACGCCACCTTGAACATCTCAAGTTCATCCAGCTCAAGGTCCTCCACCTCCATGTCCCACCAAAACCCACCGCCTTCATTCACCCCACCCTGCTGGAGACTCTTCTTCGCCTCCAACTTTGCAGAAACCTCAGAACAATCCCTCTTAAAATCTGGCATTTTGGCGCAGTTTTTCACAGAATCATCAGAAGTAATTCCATTCTCAAAGCGAGAAATTATGGAATCCACAATAGAGTGCCCAAAAGCAAAGACGTGTTTGCCAGGTAACGATTGTACAATAATGGCAACTTCAGCGCCTGTCAGAACACAGATTTCCGTTCTCTTTCTCCAAAAGTACACGTTTGGAAAAAGTCCCGCACCTGTTGCTCAATTATTCTATTTCTTTATTTCAATCTTCTTTCTACCCAGTGTTTTCTTCTTCATGACCACCATATTTTCGCAGACAAAACACTGATTTATTCATCAAATCAAATGTATATATAAGTAGAGAGACAGAGAGAGAATTTAGGGTTTTCTTGTGCATACAGTGAGAAAAAGAGAGGAAAGATTGCTAAACAGATAGTGCGGTAAACGTACATATTTATAGGTTACTTTTCAGGGGCTTGGAACTAAAGTTTTTTTAGGTTATATGCTTTAAACAATTTGGCCAAATGATGGAACCCATTTAATATGAAGAGTCCAGCACAATTGACTGCAGCCCGGCTACCCATTCATTATATTTCAAAGGCTGAGATGAAGCCACGTGGAAGGGCTGTGATCGTTGGATGTGTCTGATCATTTGTATTATTGGCTTGACCTTTTCATTTGCACTAATTTGAGATTATTCTAGGGTTTTCTCTTCTCTCGCTCTCTCTCTCTGAAAACCTTTGGTTTTCGTCTGTAATCTCTAAACTCTAGTGTTTCTTAGTGAGATCTAGTGTTTGTAAGGTTGTGGTTTAGGCGAATTTGTTTTGATTGTGTTCAGCAACTGTTGGCTACTTTGTGTAATCGTGTTTGTGGTTTCTTGAGAGAAAATTTGGGCTGAGGGCTTTATCTTTTGTGGATCTATTGTGTTGTGACTCTTGCTTCGATTTATTGTTGGTTTCTAGTGGATTGGAGCGATAATCACTTCCGTGATTGCTCAATGGGCGATTAGCCCTATATTGGGTGAACATCCAGACCTTAGGGCGAAAAATCCTTTGTATTCAATTTACTTTCTGCAATTACTTTGTGGTTTTGGGGGCTGTTAATACCAACAGTAGTATCAGAGCATTTTGATCTCCAATAAATTTTCGATCTGAAATTTTTCTTGGTGTTCTTGGTGAACATGACTTAGGATCTTCAAGATCTTTTCTAAAGGTTTTGCTTCCTTTCCTTTGGTAGAGAAAGTAAAATAGTCCTGGTTTTCACTATTTTACACCACTAAACTGAGACGTTGGTAACGAGTTTCTAACCCTAAATTACCTTTACCTTTCTCGATCTTTTTCTCTCTTAGATATCTTGTTCGAGACCTTCCCAGATCTTCCTTTGTCTAGGGCTTCATTTGAGAACCCTAGAATTTGAGGGGACTGAGATTAACGGTTTCTTCAAGATTACTTTTGAGTTTTTTGAATTCGAAATTGGCATATTCTGTTGATTGGGTTATATTTCTGATATCTTGTTATCTGGATCTCTGATATTGTTAAACTGTTTACATGTGCTTGAAATAAAATATTTCCCGCATTCTATTACTCTATGTAAGTGTGCAGTAGTTGATACTTTTATTCTCTGTGAGTGGTGCATCATTCTTTGCACTGCCTCTACATTGTTTAAGCGTTTTCTGTGTCTTAATATGGGTAGTACCAAAGTTGATGTTGACATTTGGAATGGGAATGGAGACTTTACCCTTTGGAGTAGGAAAATGAAAGCACTTTTAATTCATTTTAGATGTGCCAAAGCTCTTGATGAATCTTGGGGGGAAGAAGCGGATGATAATAAAAGAATTGAAAAAGGTGAAATTGCATGGAGCACTATATTTTTGCATTTATCTGATATTGTCATTAGAGAAGTAGGAGAGACTGAGACTGCAGCTGCTATATGGGTAAAGCTTGAATCTCTGTGGAAACAATTTTTCCGTTTTAAATTTGATCCCAATTGTGATCTTGAAACTAATCTTGATAGATTTAATAAACTTTCTCAACATCTCACCAATAGTGGTGAAACTCTTTCAGATGATAAAAAATCTGTAGCCTTATTATCATCCTTACCTGAAAAATATAAAGATTTGAGAAATGCTCTTGAATATGGAAGAACTTCTGTTACAATTGATATCATTGTTTCCTCCTTAAGGAATAAAGAACTTGAATTTTAAAGCGAGTTAAAAACTTCCTCTATTGGAGTTGGATACAATGTGAAAGGAAACAATTTTTCAAAAAGGAACAACAACAATTTCCAAATAAAAGTTCTGGAAAACATAAGGAATTTTCTGAAAATTTCAAGAGTAGTAAATACAAATTCAATAAGAATAATAATATGGCTCAGGGAAAGAAATGTTATTTCTGTGGAAAATTGGGACACTTTAAAGATTGAAACAAAAGGATTGATGAACCGAAAAATGTTAATAAAGTTAACGGTGGGGCTGCTTTAGCTCATGAAGAAGCTGTTGCTTCTGATGGGCAGGTTTACATGGTCTGCCAATCAGCAACTGAAAATGAATGGATTCTTGATTCAGGGTACACTTTTCATATGGCACCTCACAAAGATTCTTTCATTGATTTCTTGAAATAAACGGAGGACGGGTAATATTGGGAAATGACTTTTCTTGCAAAATAAAAGAAATTGGTAAAACTATTTTAAATTTGGAAAATGGGAATGTTTTGACTTTGAACAAAACTAGATATATTCCAGATCTAAGGAGAAATTTAATCTCTTTAGGTTCCCTTTGATGATGAAGGTTTTAATACTATTATAAATAAATGTATTCTAACACTTCAAAAGGATTTTGCAAAGGTCATTAATGTTGAAAAATCAAATGAGATTTACACTTTGAAAGGTTTGCCTTTACAAAACAAATCTTTTTGCTGCTACAGTCTCACAATCTGATAAATCTGATTTATAGCACAAAAGACTAGGACATATTAGTGATAAGAATATGTACATTCTTAAGAAACAAGGACTATTAGGAAATGAAAGGATAGAAAGTACGTCTTTCTGTGAATATTGCATCTATGGGAAACAAAAAAAAAATTCCTTTTGCTATTGGCATTCATAAATAACAATCTATCCTTGATTACTTGCATGCTGATTTGTGGGGACCAGCTAATGTATGTACTTACTCTGGCTTCAAATATTTCTTGCATCATTGATGATTTTTCAAAGAAAAGTTGGTTATTCTTTTGAAAAACAAGCTTGACACCTTCAAAAATTTTGTAGAATGGAAAACTTTTATTGAAAATCAAGTTAATAAAAGTGCTAAATCATTTAGAACTAATAAAGGCCTTGAATTTTACAATGAAGAGTTTGATTATTTATGCAAAACTAATGGGATCCTTATACATAGGACTGTTACCTATGCCCCTCAATAGAATAGACTTGCAGAAAGGATGAATAGAACCCTTTTAGAAAAGGTTAGATGTATGCTGATAAGCTCTGGCTTGATTATTTTGGGGAGTAGCAGTTAAAACGGCCTCTTATCTGATAAATAAGTGTCATACTAAATCTTTAAAGTTTGACACTCCTGATTATGTTTGGAATGGTTATTTTGTTGACTACTCTAAACTGAAATTTTTTTGCTGTGCTGCTTTTGTACATCAGAATGAAGGAAAACTTGAGCCCAAATCTGTTAAGGGTATATTTCTAGGGTATGGTGAAGGTGTTAAGTGTTATAGGATTTGGTTAAGAAATCAAGGAGGCTATAAGTTTATTATTAGCAAAAATGTGATCTCAAATGAGTTAGATATGCCCTGTACTAAAGAAAAAGTGACAGCTACAACTGAAACTGATCAAAATAAAAATGTTTTAGAATCTGGACTTTTTCAGGCAGATTTAAACTCTGAAAATAATGATCAGTGTGAGGTGGAGCTTGGGCAGGAGTTAAATTCTAAACCTGAAAATGATACTGAGATTGAATCTGCTATTATACCTGATCTTGAGCAAACTGAAAACCCTTTAGGAGACTATCATCTTGCAAGAGACAGAGTTAGAAGGCAAATAAGACCTCCTCCTAGATACAATGATTCTGAATTTGTTACAGCCTTGAATGTCCAAAATTTTTTGGGAAATGAGCCAAATTCTTATGAAGCGGCCATTGAGGGAAAACATGCAAGTTCTTGGGTTGCTGCTATGAAAGATGAAATGCTTTCCTTAATACAAAATAAGATTTGGATCTTAGTGAACAAACCAAAAGGGGAAAGAGTTATTGACTGTAAGTGGATTTATAAAATCAAAGCAGGAGACTCTAATAGTGAGGTTGTAAGATTTAAGGCCAGATTAGTTGCTAAAGGCTTTAACCAAATAGAGGGAATTGACTACTATGAAATGTTTTCACCTATAGTCAAATACACCTCTATAAGAGTCTTACTTTCCATTGTTTCTCAATTTGATTTTGAACTGGAGCAATTAGATGTCAAAATTGCTTTTCTACATGGAAATTTGGAGTAAAAAATTTATGTCTCAACCAAAAGGGTTTGAACAAAAAGGTAAAGAAAACTGTGTGTGTCTTTTACAAAAATCACTATATGGCTTGAAACAAGCTCCCAAACAATGGTATATCATGCTTGATACTTTTATAAAGGGACTTGATTTCAATAGAAGTGAGTACGATCCATGTTTTTATTATAAGGGCGCTGGAGGCCTTGATTCATATTATTTGTTTTCTTTATGTTGATGACATGTTACTTGCTGGGTGTGATATGACTGAGATTAACATCATTAAGCAAAAACTAAAACAGTAATTTGAAATGAAAGACTTGGGAGAAGCTAAAAGGATACTAGGGATGGAAATTAGAAGAAATAGAAGTGAGTACAATCTGTTTCTTACTCAAAGTCTTATATTTCAAAAATTTTGTGTAGATTTTCTATAAAAAGTGCTAAAGATGTTACTTTACCTCTTGGCAGTCATTTTAAATTTTCTACTGAGCAATGCCGTAAAACTGAAATAGAGATGAATAGGATGGAAAAAGTTCCTTATGCAAATGCTGTTGGATCTGTCATGTATACTATGATCTGTACTAGATTTGATCTTGCTTTTGCTATAAGTGTCTTGAGTAGATATATGAGTATTCCAGGTGAGTATTATTGGGAAGCCATGAAATGATTGTTAAGATACCTAAAATGACTTCAAATTTGGGCCTTCTGTTCTGTAAAAATAACATTGGGATAAAATTAAAAGGTTATGTTGACTCAGGTAACTCTGATAATAGGAAATCTACTTCTGCATATGTTTTTACTTTAAATGATACCTGCATAAGCTAGAA